TATAGAAATAAGCCACAAATATATGAATTATGAGTTTGTACTTCTTTAATTAGCTAAACAGATCATGATTTTATTAGTATTAATAAAGTGCAATAGTTAGTTTCTGAGAAATAAGGGGGTGTCACTTTAAAAGACCTATGTTAGTATCAGCGACTTTCCTCTGCATTAGTTTTTTCTCGAGGAGTAATAATTTTTGATAGAGAATTAAAGTTGCTATTATGTCAGTTGGAACAAAAAGATCTTCAATAAGAATATCTTTGAAGAAGAATTAAAACTACTATTAATTGGGTTGGATACTTAGGTTTCATTCGAAAAGCACATTTTCTTACCGCTTTTTTTACCTTTTTTAAAAAAATGGTAATTTTGTACTGATATCACGCATTTTGTAGTGATGAATGTTTTCCTATAAACAGTTTACCTTATACAAGAATATCCTTGAAGAAGAATTAAAACTACTATTAATTGGGTTATACACTTAGGTTTTATTCGAGAAGCATGTATATTCTTAGCGTCTTTTTTACCTTTTTTAAAAAGGTAAGTTTGTATGTACTGATTATTTTAACTTCCACAGTGAGAAAAATTTCCGGGCTTTATCCGTTCAAAAAGTAACAAACGGATATTTCCGATTGGTTTTGATCGGATTTATAAGACTATCCGATAAATTTGATCGGATAGTCCTAAAATTTGATCGGATAGTCTTATAAATTCGATCAAAATCAATCGGAAATATCCATTTGTTACTTTTTGAAAGGACATTTTTCTCAGTGCAATACTGTGTTTTTATTAACTCTCGAACCACACACTGGGTCTTTCGTATCCATTCATTAAAAATAATTATTTTTGTACTTTAATAAAATCAAAAACTGCTTTTCTCTTCAAAAATCAAAGTTACAATTTTTATATCAAAACTAAATTATTTTCTTTTTCTAGTACAGAAAGTAATTTATATAATTTTTCTAAACATTTTGCCCAATGTTTGCACAACAGGATAATTTAGTAGAGACCTTAAAGAATATGTGTGAATTTTTACAGAATTTTTCGGGCACTTTAAGAGCCTTAAAATCGAGTCGGACACGAATGATCCATGTGTGTTATCCAAAGGTACCGAAAATAAGTGTGTGGTTCGAGGGTTAATAATTATCTGTGAACACTTAAAATCTGCGCGTATAAAATGGGCCTCCCGTGATTGATTGATAAGTCATATCCCCCACCTTTTGCCGCCATTATGTGCAATGCACGGAGCAAAAAGGAAGAGACCAAACTCGAAGATAAAAATAATAAAAAATAAAATAATAAAAAAGAATATTACTAAGGCCTCAGTAGTCTAATGGCTCAGGACGCTCGTACGGTTTACAAGAGATCCGGGTTCAAGTCCCGGCCGAGGTAATATTTTTCGCAATAAAATTTATTAATAGTTTTTATAGATTAACATCTTTATAATATATGATGCTTGATGGTAGCATCAAATTATTAAAAATTGCTTGTCAATTTAATTCGCGATTACTAGAGTAGTTTTAATTGCGTTTATTTAGTCCGGAAAAACAATTCGGCGCGCAGTTTGAAAAAGACTACAATATGGTATATATGCAAGTACATATATAGTA